GCCCGCCCGCCCGCTCCTGGGGAATCATCCTTGGGAGGGGGAGCCCCGGATGCCTGGGCTCCATCCCAGGTTCTCTTACAACAGTGGGGTCTGGTGTGAGAGCTACAGGAAGCTGGGAGCCCCGGATGCCCGGGTTTTCTCCTTTATTCTTGGCTGATCTACTGTGTGATTGCATTTTTTGGAGGCGGGGGGAAGGGAAGGGAGTAAGTCCCATCTCTCTGCTTCATTTCCCTTCTGTAACATGAGGGGACAGGCCACCTTCAACCCTCTTACCCTGCCCTTCCCCCTTTGAATGAGCCCCAGGGTCTGAGACACCCTATGAACACAGAGGTGCAGTTGCTGTACCCCTTACCCCAGGGGACTCTTGTAAAAGTCCCCTCCTCACAGCCCCCCCATTGTCCCTGCCAGTCAGGGCAGGGGTGGGGGATGGTGCCTGGCTTTGATGCTCTCTCTTTTTTTCTCTCCCTTGGTCGCCCGCCCGCCCGTGCTGTGGTCCAGGCCAGGGCGGCCCCCACAGTGCAGAGCCCTCCCTCTGGGCTGGCGCACCACCCCACCCCTCCCAGGTATCCCCATCCCAGGCTTGGGCATCCACGTGGCCTCACCTGTGCCCTGGTGCCACCTGTGGGAGTTCTGTGCACGACTCACTCCTGCTTGTCTATGCCACCTCCCCAACTCACGCTCCGCCCCCTTGTCTACTGGCCACAGGCACTGGTCTCACCTTCCTCAGCCCTGCCACTGCCCGTGCCTATGCCCCCCACACGCCTCCACGCAACCCTGCGCTCACTTCAGCATCACGCCTGTGCCTCCCGCCCCCCCAGTGCCCCAGGACCTCACTGGCTTCTCCCTGCTGCAGAGCCCGCCTCATGCAGAGCTTCAAGGAGTCGCACTCACATGAGTCCCTGCTGAGCCCCAGCAGTGCAGCCGAGGCCCTGGAGCTGAACCTGGATGAGGACTCCATCATCAAGCCCGTGCACAGCAGCATCCTTGGCCAGGAGTTCTGTTTTGAGGTATGGCAGAGGGAGCTGTCTGGAGGCCTGCGGAGAGGGGGGTTGGAGGCCAGCAGGTTATTGTTGTGGGAGCTGGGAGCCCAGATGCCTGCATTCTGTCCTTGTCCTGAGAAAGCAGAGGGATTTGATAGGTTAGAGCTGTGGAGACTGGGAGCCTGGATGCCTGGGTTCTGTCCCTGCCCTGGGAGGGGAGTGGAGGCCTGGGTCAGGCTGTGGGGGGCAAGGGGGGTCAGGTGTGGAGAGATGGGAGTTCTTGCTCAGCCGCTGCTGGTTCTTCTTGGCCCAGGTCACCACCGCCTCTGGCACCAAGTGCTTTGCCTGCCGCTCAGCTGCAGAACGCGACAAGTGGATTGAGAACCTGCAGCGTGCTGTGAAGCCCAACAAGGTGCTGCTGGCTGGAGAGGCCAGGGGGAGGGAGCTGCAGGCTCTGCTCTCAGTCACTTTGGTGGCAGGGCTGGCCATGGGCAAATCATGCCCCGGGGCTACATGCTTGCCTGCCAGTGGGGGGACTTGCTGGCTGCTCTGTGGGTGTTCCTCCTTCCTGCTTCAGCCCTGCGGTGCTGACCACCCCTCCTGTGGCCCCAGGCCCGCTCCCTACCTCACTGCAGTGACTCTTGCCTGACTCTTAGTTCTGTGCCCCACCCTGGGCAACAGCTGGCATACCTGTTCCAGTCCCCCCAGGAGATCAGCCTGTTCCCCTGCTTTGGCCCCTCTCCAAGCCCTGTACCCCTGTTGTAACCCCTTCCTTGTTTCAGGGCAACAGCCAGGACACCCCCTGCTCTGCCCTCCCCTACCCAGCTCCCTCTGTCCCCACATTGACAGCCAGCACATCTTCCTTCCTGCTCCCCAATGATCTAAGCTCCTTCCCCTGCCCCTCCTGTGCCACTACGCTAACCCCTGCTCCCCCCCAGGACAATAGTCGGCGGGTGGACAATGTGCTGAAGCTGTGGATCATCGAGGCGCGGGACCTCCCCCCAAAGAAGCGATACTACTGCGAGCTGTGCCTGGATGATATGCTCTACGCCCGCACCACTAGCAAGCCTCGGGCTGACAATGTCTTCTGGGGGGAACACTTTGAGTTCAACAACCTGCCAGCCGTGCGCACCATTCGCCTGCATGTCTACAAGGACACCGACAAGAAGCGCAAGAAGGACAAGAGCAACTATGTGGGCATGGTCAGCATCCCCATTGCCAGTGTCACCGGGCGCCACTTCGCTGAGCAGTGGTACCCGCTCAGCCAGCCCAGTGGCAGCAAGGCCAAGGCTGGCTGCCCAGCCCTGCGGGTCAAGAGCCGCTTTCAGACCATGAGCATCCTGCCCATGGAGCTTTACAAGGAGTTCGCCGAGTATGTCACCAACAACTACCGCATGCTCTGTGCTGTCCTTGAGCCTGTCCTCAGCGTCAAGAGCAAAGAGGAGGTGGCCTGTGCCCTCGTCCACATCCTCCAGAGCACTGGCAAAGCTAAGGTGCTGGGCGATGGGGACGGGGTGGGCAAAGGGGGCTACAGGGCAGGGGGCCGCCAGAGGGGCCTGGAAGGGGTCAGGCAGTGATTGGAGGGACATTGAGGTGGGAACTGGGGGCACAGGAATTCTGGTGGGTGTTCAGGAGAGCAGGTGGAGGAGGCTAGGAAGGGGAGCTCTGGGCTTTGGGAGAGGGCTGGGGAGGTTTTGGGAGGGGAGCTGAGGGTACAGGGTTATGTTGGTGGAGGGTTGGGAGGGCAGGGTAGTGGTCAGGGAAGCTGAGGCATCAGGGGAGGACTGGGGGAACATTGCGCGGGGGCTGGGAGGGTGGATGTGGTGGTGGGTGGAGGAGCTGGGGATCCAGTTTCAGGCTGGCTGTGGAAAGGGCTGGGTGGTATCAGAAGAGGCTGGTGGGGATGGGGGCTCCAAAAGGGACTGTGACTGAGAGGAACCCTTCTCCCATGGAAATTGAGGGGAAGTCTAGGTGTGAGGTTCACCTTACTGACCCCTCCCTTGCTCCCTCCCGGCCCTGCGTCTCCTGCAGGATTTTCTCTCAGACATGGCCATGACGGAAGTGGACCGGTTCATGGATCGGGAGCACCTGATATTCCGGGAAAACACCCTCGCCACGAAAGCCATAGAGGAGTATCTGAAACTCATCGGCCAGAAATACCTCAAGGATGCCATTGGTGAGCGTGTGCATGTTCCTGTGTGCACGTGCCCTTTGTGAATGTGCGTTCATATGTGCATTGTTGCTTGCCTACTCCTGTGTCTGTGTGTGTTGTGGGCTGTGTGCATGTATGTGCACGTGTGCGTGCTGTTATCTTTAGAGGTGCATGCTCCTGCTTGTGAGCTGTTGATGAGGGCATATGCACATGCATGGACATACTCCTGCTGGTGTGCCATTTCTGGGTGTGTGCGCCCTCACATGCTTTTCCTTGGCACTACTGAACATGTGCAGTCTTCATGTGTGCTGTGAGCATACGTGCATGTGCCATTAAGGAATATGGGTATGCGTCTGTGTCTGCATGCACATGTACTGTGCTGTTGCGGGTGTGCTCCAGGCATGTCCTGTGCCCAGGGTCTGAGCACTTCCCTTTGCTCTGAGTCTACTGATTTGGGCACAGTGAGTTTCTACCTCCTGACAGGGCAGACCCTAACCTGACTCCTCATTCTGCTCTGCCCAGCCAGGCTCGTACTGTGCCCCCCTTCTGGCTGTGGGCTCAGGGAGGGTGTGGGGGAGGGGGCAGGGGAGGGCTCCCAGGGGGCAGATGCTGGTCTGGCGCTGCCCTCATGTCCAGCCATTTCTTCCTCTAGGCGAGTTCATTCGGGCGCTGTATGAGTCTGAGGAGAACTGCGAGGTCGACCCCATGAAGTGCTCAGCCTCCACTCTGGCCGACCACCAGGCCAACCTGCGCATGTGCTGTGAGCTAGCCCTCTGCAAGGTCGTCAACTCCCACTGGTCAGTGTGGGGCAGGGAAGGGCAGGGGTGGCTGCCTGAGGCATGGGCAGGAGCCTGCAGAGGGATGAAATCTCAGAGTAGGAATCGATGCCAGTCCCTGCCCCTTGAGGGGCATGGGGGGCCCTAGGAGCTCCTCTGATGTCCCCCACCAGTGCTTTCTTGCCAGAGATCGGGGGGTGGGAGGGTCAGGACATGTGGAGTCTGTGTGAGGGACTGGGCTATGGCAGGGTTTAGAGTGTGTGTGGGGTCTTTGTGGTGCCCAGGGGGTGTATGGTGTCTGTGTGGGGATGCATGGGGTCTAGAACAGTGCACAGGGTCTGGGGGAGCATATCAAGGTCCTGAGTTTCTGTGGGGGTCATAAGCAGTTCCTCAGCCTGTTTCCATGGGAGATGCAGGAGGGCAGGGCCCCATGGGTGGGTGTGGCGGGTTCAGGGCCATGGTACTGGGTGAGGGTACAGGTCTGTGAAAGGTGTTTGGGGAGTCCTGGGGACTGAATGGGGGCAAGAAGCCCTACCCAGGGACATATGGGGTGGTCTCTGATGGCAATATTTGGGTGCCAAGCACCAGAGAGGGGATGAGTGGACCCTCAGGCTCTGTGGAGTTTGGAGGGGGGTGCTGCTGTTGCTGGGTGGGGGGAGGGGGGGCACCTCTGAGGTCATAGGAGGCACTTAGAAGGAGCAAGGAGTGCTGGGGACCACTGGGAGTCTCTGACAGTGCTTGCCTTCCTCTCTTCCTCCCCACCACGTAGCGTATTCCCCCGGGAGCTGAAGGAAGTGTTTGCTTCTTGGCGTCTGCGCTGTGCGGAGCGGGGCCGGGAGGACATCGCTGACCGGCTGATCAGCGCCTCGCTCTTCCTGCGCTTCCTGTGCCCAGCTGTCATGTCGCCCAGCCTTTTTGGACTCATGCAGGAGTACCCTGACGAGCAGACGTCTCGCACTCTCACCCTCATTGCCAAGGTCATCCAGAACCTGGCCAACTTCACCAAGTGAGTGCCACACCCTTGGGCTGGGATCATGGAGCTGTTGTAGAGTTGGCAGGACACGGGGGAGCATTTGAAAATATGAAGGGGAGTTCAGTACTGAAGAGGGCGGCGGGGGTTGAGGGATCCTGCGACAGGGCAGGAGGCTTGGGAAGTGATTCAGGAAAAGCATAAGGTGGTGCTGGGGCTGGAAGACCTGCCTCACTCATCCCTCCTACCCCACTGATTCCCCCTCCCCACCCATCTCCCCTCCCTCTTGCTCGGCTCTGTCAGGTTTGGCAGCAAGGAGGAATACATGGCATTCATGAATGAGTTCCTGGAGCTGGAGTGGGCCAGTATGCAGCAATTCCTGTATGAGATCTCGAATCTGGACACGCTCACCAACAGCAGCAGCTTCGAGGGCTACATCGATCTGGGTCGCGAGCTCTCCACGCTGCATGCCCTCCTCTGGGAAGTCCTGCCCCAGCTCAGCAAGGTACTGGCATGCAGGGGCCCCGTGCCCAGGTCCACAGGGAGGTCTGATACGTTAGAGCTGTGGGGCAGGGAACGGAGGCACCCGCATTCTGTCTCGGCTCTGGGAGGAGTGTGCGTCAGGTAGGTTGCAGCAGCAGGGGCTGGGAGCCCAGATACCTGTGTTCTATCCCAGCTCTGGGAAAGGAGTTGGTCTGGGGGGGTTACAGTAGGGAGTGGGCTGGGAGTGGAGACGTCTGGGTTCTCAGTAGGCTGGAAGCCTGATTTGGTTCTCACTCTTTTCCCTCCCACCCCAGGAAGCCCTCATCAAGCTGGGCCCCCTGCCCCGTCTGCTGAACGACATCAGCGTCGCCCTCAGGAACCCACACATCCAGCGGCAGCCGAGTCACCAGGGTGAGCGGCTGCAGCCTAAGCCCCTGGTCTTGCGGGGCCCTTCAGCTGATGTCCAGCCCTATGTTGTGCGTGACCTCAACAGGTGAGTGGGGAGGGGAGAAGGGATGGTGGAGCACTGCCACTAAGTGGGGCAGGGTGCATCTCCTTCTGTACCCCCTGCCCTGTCCCACTGTGCTAACGCTTGCCTCTGCTTCTCTGCAGCTCTGTCGATCTCCAGCCCTACATGGTGCGGGGCCTCAACAGGTGAGTGTGTCCCCTCCTCCCCAGTCCCAGCCCCAACTGCACCTCTGCAGGAATCCTGTGATGGTGACCCCTCACCATTGGCCTGTCCTCCCTGTGAACTCTCCTTCCACTGGGGAGATGCACTGTCCCTCTGGCCCTGCCCAGTCTCTGAGGAGCTGTGGGTGTGTGTGTGAGGTAGGGAAA